AAGGAGACAGGTTATCAGAGGAGTAGTAGAACAACCTGGTGATGCAGGGAGTTCTCTGGCTGTGTCAAAGGGAGTAGGGGTCCCAGAGGTTATAAAGGTATGGTCCATTGAGGAGTTAAGGAAGGCTCAGACAGTAGACCCTTTTTTGGGGTGTGGTGAAGGATCACCTAGTGGAAGGGGTGACCTTGTCAGAGGGTTTTGGTAGACGTCTTCCTGGAAGCATAGATAGTTATCAAGTTCGGGCAGATGGGCTGTTATATAATGTCCATACGAATGTGTATGGGGTTAATATTTTTAGGGTAGTGGTACCAGAAGAGTTCCAAGAGGTTGCTTTGCAGATGGCACACTGCTATGCTATGCATTATTTAGGGGGATGAAGGATGCAGTGTTGAGGTTTTGCAGGAAATGTGAAACCTGTTTGGATTGTAAACTGGGGAGGGAAGTTCCAGCACCTCTATTGAGTTATCCAGAAGTCATTGAACCTTTTCAGAGAGTTCACATGGATTTGGTTGGTCCTTTCTAGGTAGCAGAAGGGTTTAAGTATATTCTCACAGTGGTGGATGCTTTAATGAAGTACCTCTATGTGGCTCCTTTAAGAACAAAGGAGGCGCCGGAGGAAGCTAGAGTATTCATTGAGACAATAGTAACAAATGAAGGAGCTCCAGGACATATTTACGAACTCCCGACCACTATCTGTCACGATGAGTTGTTTAAGGTGTTACGCATGGGTAGACATGTCATAACCCTTTATCATCATAGTTCAAATGGCCAGGTGGAGAGAGTAAATGGTGTCTTAACACAAATTTTGAATAGCTGGAATGTGATGTTACCTATGGCTACCTTAGCATATAATTAAGGATTCTCCATTATTTGCTTTGAAGCACCATGACCCTAAATGGGCATATTTCCTATAATTTGGTATAATTTAGAGAATTATTCTCAAGAGGTTCGAGTGATAGGTAGTAAGGTTTTCAAGTGCTGCCAGCATCACATTGACAGTGGGTTAGGCACCGTCCTTTAGTGGAAGGTGACCAGGTATATGTGCAGGCTATACCAAAGCCTGGTTTAAGTAAAAAGGTACAGCCATTATTTATGGGGCCCTATCAGGTGATAGATAGAGTTAGCGAAGTAGTATATAAGTTACAGAGGCTGTCTAACGGGAAAGAATGTAAGGTTCATGTTAGAGACATCTCTTGGCCCGGAACAGGGAGGAAATGTAAATAGGGCATATCCAATCCATGACTCTACTGACATTAAAGAACAGGAAGGAAGCTCAGGGGTGGATAGTATTTAATGAGAGGAGGTCAGTGTGGATCTCTGGTTTCTGTAATGTCATATTCATGTTAGGTTGTTTTTCAGGTTATTTTGGGAGTGGGGGCTCGGATGGAGTTTGAGGATTCTTTGGTAAGTACCGGGCTAGTTTTCATTCCGGAGGGACGGGTCCTCTACACTTCGTCAGTGCAGATCATACCCATACAAGTAGAGAGGTCATGGTTTACCGGGCCTTTGCTTGAGCTCCAGGTCTGCCTTCAGGACATAGAGAAAAGCTTGGATATTATACAGTTAAGTAGTACCAAACAGGATGACAGGAATAGGGTAGGGGCAATGACCTCTAACCTCGGGTCACCCATTATAGATGGGATAAGGACTATGGTTCGGCAGATGTCGGATGAGATTGAATATCAGACATCGGTAATTCGATTCTTTTTTGACGATGGGGGAGACATCACGACAAAGACGTTCCATCCTTGGAGGTATCTCGGCATTAACAAACTTGGCCTTCGGGGTAGTAACAAACGGCAGGATAGACAGACTACACTCTATGCTCGTGTCTACTGAGGCGACAGCTCGCAAAGCTTTATCAATGGGGGGAGGTATCACTTTCCCTCCTGGAAAGCACTCTTACATTTCTCGAGGAGGCTCAAAAAAGGCTGGAGGATTCTGTTGGGTTGTTAGACTGGGCAGTCAAAGGACTAGGAAAATCAGTGGGAGAGACCCAGCGGTTGTTTTTGCTTAGTCTGACCTTGGAGAATTACGGGTCAGTCTTAAAAAGGCTCAGACATGACCAATATGCATTAATGGGTGGGTTAAGAGATGCAGTTAAGGGATATTTATCACCGGAACTCTTACCCCCGATGCAGTTTTGGATATATTATTACAAATCCCACGGGAAGGGGTACACTTAATTTTTTCTCCACGAGAGTAGGATGTTTATTTGTTTTATGATACATGTAACGGTTCGGCCCGGAATTTCCTCTGGACAGCTGATTATGTATCTAGCACTTCCCCTACCAGGGTTTGGGTTGGATGTTTTCAGTGTCCATAGTTTCCCCAAGATCTGTCAAAGAAAATTCTTCCTTTATTCAAACAAAGATATCTGCCTTGTATTTATATGTCTCAGAATCCCAGGACATGTTTATGGAAGTGGATTCCCTGGATTCCTGCTGTGCAGTTAGGGCTGGTCTGTTTCTATGCCCGGCGTCTGCTGGACTTCACTGAAGAGGGCATGTGCGATCATGCTTGTCGGCTGCCTTCTTCAAGGAAGACAAGGTAGAAGACATCTGCAATGAGGTGGTGACAGACCACTTTGAGCCGATAGTGGTGAGGCAGGGGACTCAATGGATTTACAATGTGCCGTACCCCATTGAGGTCTCTGTTTCCTGTCCAGGAGTACCCATGGCAGGGATCACCAAACCCAGGGAGATTTTGGAGGGTGTAGGAGTCCTTCGTCTGGCATCAGGATGTCAGGATGTCATCGCAGGATTTCTTCATTCCACCAATAATGGGGGATTACAATAGCCGGCCATGGCTGGTGGTTTTTTAAGTTTTCAACATATCATCTGTGGTGCAGTCCTCAGCGGAACTGAGAGGAGAACGCGTCCGGAGACCAGGATCAGGGTCGTGTTGCTATTGAGCTACTGTCACAGCAGCCAGTACAGGTTTAGTGTCAGTCTCTGAGTAATTTGCCGCCCCTTCGAGGTGTTGAGCCGGGAGTGAGGTAGGTTCTCCTAGACGGCCTAAGCAGCTCCGGCCCGGGACGACATGATCGAGGACGATCATACTTATAAGGGAGGAATGACGTAAGACGATGTAGTAATTAATAAACACAAACGAAAATAGTTGTGCATTGTTGAGGAGGTGCACCATCTGCGCAAGCGCGGCTACGGGAGAGGAAGGGAGTAGGACAGACAGCCATGTGACTAGATGGACCAACACCTGCTAATGACCTTGGTAGGGAAAGTGTAGATCTAAGTTTTGTGGAGAAACACTGGGCGGGGAGTCTAGTATTGGAAACATTCTGCGTGCTTATCACTAGTTGATAAGGGAAAGACAGTAAATAGAGTGGAGTATCCATGATGGGGTTCGTCACAGCTACTACCGGGAGGTTCACTGATTAAGTGTATAACTTATAGCTGTTTGTAGTTTGTTCTTTTGTATGTATATAATTTGTTTCTAATTTATATGCATATATAAAAATTTAAATAAAAATAGTAAAATAAGATTTTTTCTGTAACCCTTCAGGCCCGGTTAGACACTTTGATAATTGTTGGGTCACAGGGTCATTTAGTTGTTAAGTGGTTTCCAGTTCTACCCACTGAAAGAACTGGTGGTGGCAGTAATACCTTAATCGTAACAGATGTGATTGTAATTTCATTTTTACAGATTAATCTACATTCTGATTACGACAACACTTGTTAACCGACCGTATGTATGACAAGTAAAAGAATCTAGAAATAATGACATTAACATCATGGTCTTTGTGGCTTCAGCCACTCTCACAACCTTTTCTTCAGGTTTCTGATGAACACCCTGAAGTATTGGTAGTGGTGGTAAAGATCTAGTTCAACATCATTTATATGAAATCGTGGCAGAGGGATTGTGGGTTCTGTGCCTTGTTTTTTTCAGTCGAGATTATCAAGCCACACTCAGTAGCCCTTGCTGAAAACATCAAGAATCTGTTGCATTCTCTCTTCGGATAAGGACTGTTAGCCTATTAATATTTCTCCAGAAGTTTGACTGTTACTACTTTGCAATAACTGTTCCAAGTATTTTTCATTTTCTGAATTGCTTGTTGACTTTATGAAACCGCACAACCGATTATCTTATGCTATATTATCTTTATAAGATTTAACAAGCTCCTGGACTCGTTTAAGTTCCTTGATGAGAATTAGGTTATTGATCCACCTCGGTGCATGGGGACTATAAAGGCATGGGTCTTCTCTTATGGGTCTATGATTGGTGTAACACCTATGACATAACAGTTGAAAATTTCGTCCTGCAGCGCTGAGGACAGGGGACGCCCTCCACGGCCGCAAGTGGCTGGCGGGCATGTACTTTCCGAAGTTATAAGTGCTGGGAGGTGGTTGTTCTCCTTTCCATATGCTGGGAATATGGTTGAGGGATTACCCGTCTTTATGGCCTTGTAAACTCCGTCCTCCAGTAAGTTTGTCAATATAGCTCTTCTGGGAGCGAGCGACATATACATACGGTGAAGAGAGTGTGTCTCCTCGAGGAGGTATCCCCCAGAGCCGAAGAGGTGTTGCCGAGGTCCTGTAGCCATTTCATTTTTCGCGTTTTTGTCGTGCCTTCAGGGAAGGCGAGGCGGACAGTTCTTTTTTTGGTGCCCACGCAATCATGACTGTATACGTTTTACATATATTTGACATAATACAGCATTCTGTGACTACCGCAAATGTACATAGTGAAACGGAAATATAAATCATACATCATGAAAAAAAATATTACGTTGATATGCTTTTGTCACTATGTTTACATAACACTGTTATTTGTTTACGGCAGTTTTACATAGTAAATTTAGGATATAGTTCGATTATTTAGAATATAGTTCGTTAAGGCTGTGTCACATGACATTCTGAAATAGAGTGCTCAAGCGTTCGCTTGATTCAGATTCATCTCCACTTCTCGCACCGTGCAGTACATTTGATAACCTAAAAGTATTCTGGCAATAATCACGTCACATAGTCTGTTTTTTTCGAAGAATGTCGTCCCGTAGAGTTGTTGTTGTTTTTGTGGTGCTTTTAGGGATTTTTGTTTCAACCTGTTTTATCTCATAATTTCACTGGTATACTTCAAGCCCTTCCTACTTTCGGGACTTTCATATCAAGATTACACACGAGAATAAATCTAGTGATATAAATATTGTCTAGGAAAGTTCAATTATCTATCACACACACACATACATGCACACACACACATGTATATATATCTCATGTGTATATAATCATACTGCATATGTACATATACATATACATTTCTCTCTACACACATACCATATATATATATATATATATATATATATATATATATATATATATATATATATATATATATATCTATCTATATCTGTAATGGCATTTTCTAACATGTCACTGCCCTCCAGATGGCGTGTGCAAAATGTACAACATAGGAGGTGACGACACTACATCTGGGGACTACAGACTCTTCCGATCTGCTGTTGGATCCGGTAACATGGCTGCCAAAAAGCCTACAACTGCCTCCCTTCCCTATGATAGATAGTGAGTATAATCAATATATATATATATATATATATATATATATATATATATATATATATATAGATATATATATATATATATATATATATAGAATATGTGTGTGTTTTGCCTTTATTTCTTTTCTCTTCATCTTTACCTTTCTGGCAGAAGACATTCTATAATCACATGGTTCAGCTTCCAGAGCGAGAATGTCTATGACGTTTCGCTCAAATGGCGGGGTGAGTGAACTATTCATCTTTCTGTGTTTGCAGTGATATGTATCACTTAGGTATTAAGTGAACAGTTTACAAATTTTCAAGAAGGGATGAACACGTACTCTGTGTAGAAGATCAGTGTAACAATGACATTTTGCTATGGTATTCTCCATTAGCACACTAAACCAAGCTCTTTTTCACATTATCGTATTGACTTGTTTGCTGCATGTCTTGAATGAAGCTTGCCTGTCACTTTAATAATTCATTCTGTAAGCATTCTCACCATTTCGCTGTAAGTTACCAATTTAGAAATCTCTTCTTATGATTCTATTTGATTTCTTAAACAGTATTTTTTACAAAGCCTTGCAACAACTGCAGATCAACAAAGTTCGTTATGAAAGGAAGAATTCAGTTCAATGACTTCCTTTTCAAGACATAAGTGAGTGGCATTTGTTAGTGTGTAGTGTGTACGGGAAATCATGCAATGGCACGAGAGATTACTAGGACAAGAGAAAAAGCACCAAAGTAATATCACTTAGTGCTTGAAGTACCACATAAATGTTTCTATGTAACATATATTTCCCATGTATATAATTTGAGTACATATTGTATATATGTGTGTATTTGCTTCAATACTATTTCCTGCGGCGTACGACAACGTGATACCGTGCGCCTGCCAACAGTAGCTCTCTCACGTTATCTGGCGTGACCACTTGATATCAAGGAATTCTGTATGACTCAGTACAGTTACATTATGTAAGGTGAAAAAGCGACTCATTATTACAACTAATCATACACCTGTTTATGAAATACTTTAATTCTACTTCTTGAGTTATATTGCTACTATAATTTTTTTCTATTTGATGTTATAATATATTATCTTCAGCCAGTATATATTTATATCTCTGAAGCTAATTTTGTGTAACTGCATGCCATAATTTTGTCTCAATTCGTGCAAATATCTCATCTCATGCATTTCCATGCACAAATACATGTATGAATGATCAATGCACGTGGCTTTTTACCTTTCATTCTCTGTAATATACATGGCCTCAATAATTGTACTACGATTGAGTGAGCCCCAAACTTTTAATCAGAAATGTTAGTTAAATTACTGGGTGTGTTCATAAAGAGACTGCGAGGCACATGATTTTTTTTTTTTTTTTTTTTTTTTATAATTCGTGTGGTATCACCAAACTGATCCATTTTATTTATCGAAGTGATACATTTTCTGTGTCGATCTGAACGATCCAGTCTTTACAAATAAACATAGTTCATGAAGACTGTTTGTGGTCTTCCAGGCAGGATACAGTCTTGATGTAAATACTAGACTTCGACTCACACTGCAATAAAATAATAATTGAATAAAAAAACAAGCTTTCTAATATGGCTTTATATATACATAAAAAACGAGGTTATTACGCCATGCGGTAATCGATATCCTCTGAGGCGTCGAGAAAGCCTACACCTGCATCGCTATTAGATTTGGCGCGACGGATAATGTTAAATAACCAATCAATCATTTCTTTGACCGAGGCTGACTTTTTGTACAAACCTCCTCTAGAGTACATGCAGCTTCTTTTCACTTCCATGCTTCTTTCCTCAGGTTACAGCCACCCCTGGTCAGCGCTGAAGCTTAAATTCCTTTGAGTCAATCTGCTTCATCGTTTCAACTTATGTTGGCCAGTTCTGATGCTACCCATTCGCTCTGCTCTCACATTGCAGTGTGGCAGAATTAGCCAACGACTGCGACCGAAATACCTTCTACCACTCCTTATATGGCGAGCGGTACGCCTGGTGGAACGTGGACTTGGGAAGCTCTGTCTCCATATACATCGTCCGTGTCCATCCTTATGTTCGGACCCCGGACGTTTATAACCGTTTTCACGATGTCGAGGTTTGTTTTGATTATAAGGAGTTCCAGCGGGCACTTATTTGTACTGCCTATCTGTTATTGATGTTATAATTGTTGCATTTGTAATTATTATTACCATTGCTGCTGTTGCTGTTATTATCATCAACATCACCTTAATCGTCATAATAATTATTATTGTTGTCATTATAATCATCATTCTTATTACTACTGTTATTGTCATTATTACTCCAGTCTGACTCTCTGCAGGTGAGCGTAGGAATGGTACCTGCCGTAGGGGGGGATGCTTCAGCCTACACTGTTCTCGGCCTGTTCATCGGACCATTTACCGACGACACTTGGTTAGTATTTACATCTGTCTATGCGTGTCTCATTCACTGGTATTATCCACGTAGGGTTTTTTGGTCAGTGCTTCTATCTTACTCCCTGTATCCCCTTGTCTCTCTGTCGCCCTTTCTGTTCTTTCTACTACCTCTGCAATTTCTCTCTATCACTTTTTTCTTATACCCTCTCTTTTTCTATCTGCCTGCGTCTCAGTCTTTCTCTTTCACTGTTGTTTGTTCCTCTCTGCCGGTGCCCTACTCACTCATTCATACAAGTCCTTCCTTTACAGCTGCAACTTCTCTCTCGATTCTCTTGTATCGGTTACCTCCTTTTAGAGGAAGTTGAGGTTTTGACTCGAGAATTCTAGAAACAAATGTGAGAGCTCAAAAATAGCATTTGCCTGTGGAAGTATAGATACATAGTATATACACATATTCATATGCATACGTGCACACATAAATGCATATTCATTAATACTCTCACCCTAAAAAATGCAACTAATGGCTATGCTACATTATTGTAAGGAACCAGCTTTAACCGATGCGAATAATTGGTGATAAACGCATATATTATATAATATGCAGCACTGTTCATTAAAGTGAGAACATAATCGAAATGGTACAGCGCTGGTTAGATTACTAATAATTAAACACTGTATTAAGAGATCACTTTCCTTTTCAAGGGAAAGGAATTAAAAAGACTAATCACATAAGAAAGTAAAAGTTTATTAGATAAAAAAGATATGTATGATATATATATATATATATATATATATATATATATATATATATATATATACATATATTTAGAGATTCCTTAAACGTGAAATTCTTATTTGTGTACATGCTCACGCTGTCATATGTGCGTGATATTCTGTGTTTGGCTGAATTATTTTTTTCTTTCAGTGCTTCAAATATTCATCTAGCCATTAACTTTGCGCTGAAAAAATACAATACAAATTTAAATATCTAATTCAGAAACCTTCAGCAATTCTGCAATCTGTCAGTGAGGAACCAATTTCCCCAGAACAGGGGCTCGTTTTGGTGGTTTGGTAGCCCCCGGTGGATTGCCCAGTATGGTCGCACATTTGATTGTGGATAAAGGCAGAAATCTCTTTCAGTTTTAAAAAGATCACTAGTCTCAACCAGACATCGAGTCCCATTTCCCGAGCGTTTAATTTCCAGACATCCAAGGGGATAGGTCACTTCGGTTAAGAAGCCCTCAAGTATTATTTCATCTTTACCATTTAGATATGCAGTTGCATAATTTAAACTGACAGCCGTATTCATAGATGCTTCACACACAGATTTGTCAGTAACAACTTAGTTTTCATTGAGCTCCCAACTACCATTCACCACACATCGTTCCGGAAAGGTATTTGTGTATGTGTATACACACACACACACACACACACACACACACACACACACACACACACACACACACACGTATATATTTATGTATATATGTGTGTGTTTTTGTGTGTGAGTTTGTGTGTGTGTGTGGATATGTGTATGTGTCTGTTTGTTTGTGTATGTGCACTTGCATACACACAAACACACACACCACACATATATGTGTGTGTGAATGTCTATAACTATCAGCTATGGGGTGATTTTAATTTTATTATTATCACGCGTCTGAAAATAAAGGATCTACAGTCCTAGCAGACTTATCAATAACAGAATATACATTTAGAGCAATGTTTATACTTTGATTTTTAATATAATACTTATTGTTATTTATTCATTGATATATTTTTCTAACATTTTAAATATTTTAATAATTTAGTCTAACATGGCGTTCGCCGCTAATGACCTTCGCTGTTGACGCGGCAGATAATTTCGAATAATCGGTCAATCAATCTCTGCCGGTGTCCCTACTCATTCATTCACACAAGCCCTTCCTTTACAGCTGCAGCGTTGACTTCTCTCTCGGTTCTCCTGTATCGGCTCGCTACGTTCACGTGCGGCTCACCACCGCTAACAGTATTCTTAACGATTACCTCCTTTTAGAGGAAGTTGAGGTTTTGACTCAAGAATTCTAG